TCGTGCTGTTCGCACAGGCAGTCCGCTCGAGAAGAACCTGGCTATTACACGCGATCATAAAACTGACGTAACTACGCGGTAAGTCACAAACACCAACAAACAAAATGGAAGTTTTGGTTAGAAATAAATACTTTTTCTTGCCGTACATCTAATAATAGACAGATGTCGTCGTCTCTCCAGATGTCTTTTTTATTTCTCTGTCGATAACCCGACACGTGTTCCGCAGCCATCTTGTATTTGCTCGCGCGCGTGGGATTGTGGGATCTCTGTTATGACTGGATGTAGTTTCGAGAACTCTGTCCAGTCGATCGCGATTGAACCTCGTTTCAGTCGAGATTGAAACGGTCGAGAGCGTTCGCACCACGGAACGCTCTCCGACCTTAGTCACAATCTAGATCGAAATGCTCGGTGCGAACGGGGTATAAACGGTACCCTGAGAGGTTGAAATTACCCTAGAAAAGGGTAATTACACTAGAAACGGCAGCACTGCTGAGTACGATACTGAGTAGCTGAAGTGCAAAAGTGTTTCCTACGAAAGCGGAAATTGCTTTACTAGGAAGGCGCCGACCCACCAGTGGCCAAGCGGTTCCGTTTTGAACACTGGGAGTTCGGTCTTGGATTCGCTCTGCGTGAGGACGGCTGACCAAATGGAGTTTCCCGGGTTTTCTGTAACTCCTGAATAGTGGCCAGTTATCCTTAAAAGGCGGGGAATAATGCCTCCCCGGAAGGCATTATTCCCCGCATATGGTCAAGCAGTAGGCTTCAGCCGGCTAAAACGGATCGTACGGTGGGAACAATGCTTAAAGCTAAAAGCCTCTATATTAACCCACACAACGAATAGGAATAGAATAGAATAGGAAGCCCAGCGTGTAGACCGAAGAGAGTCGACCAATTCTACCTACACTTATTGATATTTTCCGACTTTCCTATGGCTACATTTGTCGGGGATCAATTCATACACATAGAAAGATAGCATTTGAAATCAAATAAAACATTTAAAAATTAGTGCCTAAACGTTCTTTATATAAAATATTGTCAGATTTTTAATTTTAAAAAAATTTACACGTTTTTATAATAAAATAATTTATCTCAAGAAACGTCTCTCTCTCTGTATTTTAAATTTTATAGAAATGTTCCTAAAATTATTTTTATTTATTTACATTAATATTAGCAGGTAAAAGATATTAATTTTTAAAATATTAATTTATAATATCAAAATAATAATTTGAAAAAAGTACATATTAAATTTCAGATATAATTTATATTATTAATTTTTAGACAATATTAAAGAGGGCGCTTTCGTCCTTCTGTGAAAGCAGCGTGCACCTGGGAAAATCGGAATTCCTTTTCTTCTGTGTTTGAATATTTAGTTTAGGTAATGACAATGCATTTAATATACTTCTGATACATTTAATATTTTTTATAAGCGTTTAAAAAGTAATAATATAGATTTTAAACAATTGGCTGCCGGTTGAGCATATCGAATTAAAGTGAGAATATTTTATGATAATTGCTTATTTAGGAAATCTTCACTTAACATGTTTACCAAAATATGAGCCGCTTTATACAAAATCTGCAAAAACTATATAAATCCGTATAAATCTTAGTTGAAAAACATTAACGTATGTCTATTAATAGAATGGTTTAGTCTAAGTTACGGTTTAATCTCTTGACCGCAATATGTAAATTTTATCCGATTTACGGGCGAGTTTATCTTGGACAGTTTACTTGGTGAGTCTATCATTGTTTCAAATTGTTATATGAGAATAAATCAGGAGGAGCTGAATCTAGGAATGGTAAAATTGCAGCTTTGAGCTGGTTGGGATCTTATCTGAGCTGTAGGTAGTGTTACCACCCGTCCGATTTTCATCCGGGAATTGACTCACTGTCCAGGTGAACTATTAATTTTGTCCGGGAATTTCGTAGAAATTGTGAAATTACGATAAAACAATGTTCTTGCAAATATTTTTACAAATTTACATTATTTTAACAGTGAAAGAACTCGCACTCACTGAAACTTATCTGCAATTCTGCCATGTTAGTCTGTTTATGCCAATGTGTGGCGCGCAACCAGTTGTCGACTTTTTTTTTGCATGCGATCATACACATCTCTCCAATATCTAATAGAGCTAAGTCATCTGTACCTGTTCTTTCTTAATTTAGGTTACTCCTATGCAAGTCCCTAGTCCCTAACTGTAACTGATTTAGAACTGCCATGCACATTATTCTTTACATTATAAGATGACATTGCGCATGCGTCAGGAACTTCTGTTCAAACAAACCTGACCTGCCATCTGGGTCAGCGATTTTCAAAAGGTGGCAACACTAGCTATAGGAGTAAAAATGTCAAAAGAAACTGATGGTCTATATGTGATCCTTTGCAAGATATAGCCCCCAGAAGTCAGTATCTAGAATTTTGAAAACCCTCAAAAACTGGGTAAAATTTAAATGTGAAAAACTCTGGAATTATTTCTCAAAATGATACTAAAAATCAACTGGTTTCAACTTTATTAGAGACAACTAAAATCTTTTAAGACATGAGAAATGCCATTGTGCCAACTACTTTCAATGTGCAATTCACATTGTACTATATATTCTGTTAAGCCTATTGCATATTCCATAATTGGTTTCTTTGACTTTTATACTCCTATGGACTTCTCAAGATTGGAGGCAGAAATTGCATGTGGACATTTGAGTGGACATACTGGTTGTATTGTTGACATAAGAGAGAATCTTTCATTTGGCATGCTCATTTGCTTGTTAACATCTTAATTCATTCCTTGAAGAGCTTAGATGTCCAAGTCACTTGAAGAGGTTCAGGCTCAACTTTGTTCTGCCTTTTGCATTGCCAATGACTAATGGCTTCAGTTTTTCACTCACTGAACTACAATAATCAAACCACCTTACTATTTCCAGCAACGTATTTAATAAATTTAAAAACGTTTTCGACTATATTTAATAGTCTTCATCAGTTAAGAACTTTAAAACGGAAAACGAACGTAAAATAGAACTATAGAACGGTTTTTTAAACCGTTGTATAGCTTACATTCTATTTTACGTTCGTTTTCCGTTTTAAAGTTCTTAACTGATGAAGACTATTAAATATAGTCGAAAACGTTTTTAAATTTATTAAATACGTTGCTGGAAATAGTAAGGTGGTTTGATTATTTTAATTACATTCCAGTAAGTTATTTTATTTTATTTCACTGAACTACAACAAAAAAAAGCATACTAACTTATAAGACATTCCTTTGTGTTTTGTCTACTTGTATGAGTGACTCCTTTTTGTATAAGTGACTGTGTCAATAGCTGTTGGTATAAGAATTCAGTTTCATTGGTGTTGAATATGTTCTTTGCATCATAATCTTTCATCGAAGTCAGTAGCTTTGCTTTCCAGTCATTGGAAATTGAAATACTTGCATATGCTTCTGAACAGCAGAGAACACTGAAGAATATGTTGTCTCCTGTGGAATCATTATAGCTAACTATTACTTGGTTTAAAGTCTTTGATCTCAAGTCTTTCAGCAATCTTGTAATGTACCACATGACGCAAAAGGTGGAGTTACAAGTTGGGGTTCAATTTAAGTACGAGGCCTGGACTTTATGAAACAAAATATAATAATCCAAAACAACAACACTTATAAGTACAAATCCATAAATATTTATTAAATTGAGCAGTAATAAAATAAATAACAAAATTGATTAATTATAAAAAGAGTTAGTATATATTTCAAATATTCATGAAGTCAAGTAACAAAAATAAACAATTAAAGGAACTCTTTGATTATATATATCAAATTAAATCAGATCAAATCAAGTCAAAAATCAATTCAAATCTCTACTAAAAAAATAAAAAAAAATACTCAAAGCATATGTTTCTTTATGCTGATTGCTTATTAATAACACCAGACAAGTCGCTTCTACAACAGTTGCTGTCGGGAACTACCCCACACTGCTGGATGGACGTATCTTCTTTTATCCGGTTCTCCATGTAGCTACGCACTGCCTTATTTACATTTGTTCGTGTCACAGAATCAGTTATCATTGCAAATTAATATCTTTTATCTTTCTTTTTGAGGGTTTAGGAGTTTCTGTCAGTAAAAAAAAGGACCATGAAAAGATAATAACTATAACTAAAAATAATGCCCAAAGCATAATAACAATCAGACTTCAACTCCTTACAATCTTCTTGGCACTTCAAGCATGGAGTCTGTAACAGAAATATTTTTTGCCCTCAAGTTCTAGAAAAATTCCATGTCTTTATTATTGATGTCATCATGCTGTATGTGTCTAACTTGTTTTGTCCCCATCCCTGCTACTTGGGAACCCAAGTGGCAGGGATGGGGAGTCAGTGATAAAATGCATGACTTTCAAGTCGGTATTTTTTATAATTGACTCCGACTCTTGTAAAAAGATTTCACTCTCAACTCTGACTCTAACTCTCCATCCCTACCGAGTGGCAGTGATGATAACCTTGTTATTGCTGATGTTGGAAATGTAGATTTTACAACCCTGTATTGAAGTGCATGTTGTTGACAGCTTTCTCCCTTTGTGAGACATTACAGAACTTCCTTCTTTTTCTTGAAACTCAGCACAACTAGGTTTCTTTTAGATATTTTGTTGTCTAACCTGGATGAAAATAATTCTATGATAATGAGCCCAATTGACATAGGGAACTGTACACAACCATAATAAGCCTATACATAGGTCCTGTCCTACTCCTTTGTCAATTATATGATGGATACTCTTTTTGAAGTAAACGATGTGAAACAAATTTGAGGAATTAGTAAACCTATTGAGACCTGGAGCTTGTGTGTGGTAAAATTGACACACTTTTTAAACATTCATAATTAACAATAACAAAACAAATTTTTTTATTTATTTGTCAAAACCGTGTCTTCTTCTTCTTGTTTCTTCTAATTCAATGTCACGACTTGGTACATTTATCGACACTTGGCAAATTTCATCATTCACTTTTAATTCGTACAGATACACGTTTCGGGCTTTCGCCCCTCTTCAGTCTGTTACATTGATAGGTTGTATCTTGTGTGTACAGTATCTGTCAGGCACCTTACATACTTCCCACTCACCTTCCCTTCCCTCCCCTCCTCTCCTGACTTGACGGCCTCCCCTGCATGTCTAGTAACTTGTAACATCTCACTTCCCTGAGTGCTGCACACAGCCTTGCCTGCGACTGTATAAACCTTCTATTTTAATAATTGTAGCCATGAATGTCAATGCTTAGATTCTTGTTAATATTATTTTTGTCTGTTATAATTTTGTAGCTTTCCTTGAATTTTCTTTTATACCAATTTTTTTTTTTTTTTTGTACTATTATAACATCATTCTTATCTATTTTGCAGTTGTGGGTTGTGCAATACATAAAAGAAAACATATTCATCATGGAGTATAAAAATATTGAGAGCAGAACAAGTTCACTACAGAAGAAGAAAAAACACTTCAACGAACTGCGAACTAAATTCCTATTAAATGGCTATCCAAAACAAATAATAAATAACTGGGAAAGAAAAATCAACAATAAAAGGCTGGAAAATAAACAAAACAAAGATAAAAACACAGTAAGATACATACCCTTCCCCTACATTTGTGGTTTCTTTGAACAGGTAAACAAAAGTTTTGATAAAATAAATATAAAGCTAGCCCCAATCTATAACAACTTGCAAAAAAGAATCCGGAAGGCTGAACCTGGCATAAATAAACAACCAGACAAATACAACACTACTGAAGTTGTCTATAAAATACCTTGCACGTGCAAACTGCCAAAAGTATACATTGGAGAAACAAAACAAAAATTAGAAACAAGATTAAAAGAACACATTGTGGACCTGAAGTATAATAGAATCAACTCTGTTTTTTACGAACATTGCACAATCCACAACTGCAAAATAGATAAGAATGATGTTATAATAGTACACAAAGAAAAAAATTGGTACAAAAGAAAATTCAAGGAAAGCTACGAAATTATTACAGACAAAAATAATATTAACAAGAATCTAAGCATTGTCATTCATAAAAACTGGCTACAATTATTAAAATAGAATGTTTATACAGTCACAGGCGAGGCTGTGTGCAGCACTTGAGGAAGTGAGACATTACAAGTTACGAGGCATGTGGGGGAGGCCATCAAGTTGGGAGGGAAGGAAGGGGAGTGGGAAGTATGGAAGGTGCCTGACAGATACTGTATACACAAGATACAACCTATCGATGTAACAGACTGAAGAGGGGCGAAAGCCCGAAATGTGTATCTGTATGAATTAAAAGTGGATGATGATAATTATTTGCCAAGTGTCGATAAATGCACCAAGTCGTGACATTGAATTAGAAAAAACAAATTTTGTTAATTATTAATTATATAGTACAGAGTACTGTAATAAGATATTCCTCAGGATGTAGTCACGTGACACTGATTACTAACATAGTATCATATGACGTCATTTACATATTGTCTTGGATGTTCAAACTTGGTTGATTTAATACAGGAGGGTAAACTGATAACCACTGACTGTGACCAAATTAGCATGGCCTGTGATCATTCAAGATAGTGAAGAACAGATAAGCAGTAAAGCCAATTCTAAGGAAGAGGTGTCTGACTTTCTAGGTTTTACTATATTTTGAAAGGGAAAAGTGAAAATGTTACTAAAAGGACAAAATTTAGCAACATGCACTAAATCCAAAACAAGAAGTGTAGAAGATGCAGATGTAAATATAAAAGAAATTTGAGAAATACTATATCTATTTTAAAAAATAGATAGTGTTAAACTCTGATTTTTTTTAGTTATTTTTCTTAAAATAGAACTTTATTTTTAGTTACCATACATGCATACTGGCAGTCATTTCTTTAGAAAAACAGCACTAATTTTGACTTTATTAGAATTACTATTTCATTTGTGGTTGAATTTAAGAGACTAATTTAAAAAAAGAAAGTGAGAGAATCCAAAAATATAAACAAAAATACTTTACTGGAGTAAATTTAATATGAATTTACATATTAGTATTTTTTGGGCTTTAGTCCATCTTCAAGTATAGTAGAAATTAAAAAAAAAAACGAAACTGCAGGCAAATTTAAAAATGTAAAAGTCATTCTATAGAAATTATCAATTAGAACAAAAACTTGAATTTAGAAATTGTTGCAGTTTATGCTGAGTGGTAACATGGTATTGTAAGAAACTGTTTAACAAGAACAGTTTAATGTAGACATAGGTGCCTGCAGGAGGTGTAGCTACATAACTTCTCTGTGGACAACTTAAGTACTACCTGAAACGTTCTTGGGAGAATGCTATTATACTCTTGCCAACAGAATGTTTGCGTAGCAATTTTCAAAATTTGTTTATTAATTCTTAAACAATTGTCAAGCCTGATTTATTGATATTAATGCAAATATATAATTGCCAGATTTGTTGGTTCTGTTTAGGCTACCAATTTCATTAATTCTGTTATTAATTAAAATTAAATTTAAAAATTAATAATTATGAATAATCTGAAAGAAATGAATCTGTATGATATGCAGAAGATACTTGTTCAAGCCCCACTCTGAGTCAGTTTTTCCAGATTATATGATTTCTGATTAATATCAAATACAAAATGGTAATCTAACAGACTATTTTTAGCCTAAATTATATAATTAATTAATTAAGCAGCCTAAAAAATTCAATTAGATATTATAATTCTTAAGTACTTAATAAACTTTTTGAATGCAATCCACTTCTATGCTTCAGGAAAGACTTCGGAGTCTTTTATGTTAAGTTTGTTGTTTAAACTTCTCTCAAAGATCAATAGTGCATTTTATTTGCAGACATTTCAACTTGATTTTATTCAAACAAAACATGATGTAAAAAAATTTAACATAAACTTCAAAACAAAGAATACAATCTCACATCAGGAATAATACATTAAATTTCACAACTTCTAATTACATCACATATTTATGTGAAGTAAAAACAACTGTTAATAAAATTAGGTAAATCCTGTTTAAATCCTAATAAAATTACTGTAAATTAGTCATGTAAATAAAGTATTTTGCTATTCTGTATTGCATGTGTGTACTTTTTGACTTTTTTTATGATTTATACATGCTTGGCTTGTAAGCTTCTTGCTAAATTTGTGTTAAATCACATAAAGATACCTGTTTTTCTGTTATATAGTTTGATTTTTCTTTCTGTTTCTGCATTAGATAGGTTCTGCTATATACAGGTTAATTTATATTAATTTTTGCAAAAAATTCAAGGGACTGAAGAAATTTTTTGTTAATGAATTTGTTATATACAGGTTTGACTGTGTATGAATTTCTGGTTTAAACTGGTTTAAGTTGTGATTTTAGTTCAAACTTTCTCGAGAACAGAGTTAGATACATGAAAATAGAGACCAGGTACAGAAAGTTTATTTTAAGTTAAAATATGATTAAAAATTTCAGCTTGGCGTTGTGTTGATGTCACAATAAGTAATTGCTCATTTTTTGTAGATTTTAAACTAGAGAAAAATGGCTTCACCATTGCTGTTAGAGAGTGTTTGGTTTGATAAGTATAAGTATGATGATGCTGAAAGAAATTGGCAAGAACATTTAGCAAAGAATTCAAAAGGTGAAAAAGTGAAAGTAAGTAATTTTGTTATTAATGGAAAAAAGTTAAACTTAAATTTCAAATGTGTTTTAAAATTATATGATTTTATTATTCAATATTCAGTTCAGTTTTTAATAGAATTTGAATATTGAATTTTTAGATTGTTATAAAATGTAAATATTTTTGAAGATGAATTCTTAAGTATATTGAAAATATTTTAGTCATGTCATTTCTCTAAAAAAATTGACAGCCAGATGTTTAGATCAGGGCTTCTTAATTAAACTATGGGTAGTGACCCCATTTGGGGTTGCTTAGTGAAATCTTGGGATCACAAGATTTTAATGCAAAATATTGAAAATAATTTGTGAGAGTTTGAAAATGGCATGCTTTGTGGCATAGGTTCATGAGTTGCGCTTTGTGTCACTTCTGGTGCAGTGAGACAACGATTCAGCAACACTGATTGTAGTGTGAACTAGTGTAGTGTTGTCGCTTTTCAGTGTATTCAATTGTCTCTGTTCCATTGTAACACAAGAATGAACTGTGGTAGTACACCATTATTGTTTTTGCAAATTTGTATATATCTTGATTTTATATTTTTTGGGTCGTGAAAAAAATCACAATCATAAATGGGGTCATGAATAAAAACAGTTTAAGAAGCCCTGGTTTAGATGATAGAGGCCACTCTGACTGCTGTATTTACTGAGTCTCAAAATGAGAGTCCCTTGATTTAGGATTCAACCAATCTGAGCTGTGTTTCATACTTTCACATTCAACACATTTATTTGATGCAAGCTTAACTGGTTCTTGTCTCAAGTCAAAGAATTTTGTTAGGATTGACATGCTTGGTCAAAACAGATAATGAGGATTTGCTATGTACAGTACTGGCCAAGCAAAAAGGAATAAGCATGTGTTTTGTTTAGAAATCATAACTATTCTATCATGGGAAATTATAGTATGGAAAATAAAAACATTTACTAATTACAATAAAGAATTATTATTAGAACTGATTTAAATGTACAAGAACAACATAGAAAACAAAAAACAAATGATATAACTAACAATAAAAACAATTAATAATTGCTCCTCTGATGAAAAAAGTATTTTTTTTACTTTCAAGGGAAAGTCTATGATAATTTCTCCCATAAACAATGAATCAAATTTTTGTTTGAGCCCTAATCTATAACTTATTTGAATTTCATCATCTAAATTTTCTTGATTCCAGATGGAATATATTTTTCAAGGTTGTTGTCATTATCATTGCATATACATATTATCATTATTACTTATTTGTGTAACATTAAAAATTTGTCTCAAATCTGTTTTTTGCCTTGTTTACTCCATTAGATTTTATCTACACATATGTTAAATGACAAGCTGAAAATGAGCCAAGGTTTAAGTGACCATTACCAGAGACTTAAATCTCTGCTCACTTTTGGTGACTCAAGCCTGGAATTATGTAGTGGTGAATACAAAAAGTAACCTCAAGCTATGATTCATGTTTTAAGCCGCTATGGCCTTGAGCCACCATGAATAACAGCAATAAGAGATACTAGGTCAGATACTCATAAACTTTTATGAGTGGTTTCACCTGGCTATCAGACTCTTCTCTTGTCATTTGGTTTATAACTTTCAAAACTTGCAGTGGGTCAGTCATATTGAGAGGTTTGCTGAACTCTTCACAGATATTAAAAAAGCGTTACAACTTTTTTATTATTATTAAAAATATAATTAAGAAATGAATTTATGTAAATATTCATATATATATAATTATAAACTTTCTTTGTCTTTTAACACATTTTTGATCTGAAATTTAATTAAGACTATTTACAAAAATTATAACTTTTTTGAGACTTTTCTTTATCCTTCAATTGAAGATATCCTGGGTTATCATCATGTATGATTTTATACATTTTTGATCTCTTTAAAAATAGTCAAACGATTTTATAGTATTGAAATAGTGAAGAAGCATTATTTAATTTATTCACAAAAGTTTTCTTGCTGTAGAAGTTGTATAAATTATGTACAATTAGAATTTATATATTTAAATAATCATATTTTTAATTTATTTTATTTAAAATATATGTTCTCCATCTCAAATTATTAGTGTTTTGTTGCTATACTTCATAGTTTTCCTAATAATGACAGAGTCGTGCTGATCATCTATGGGTACATTTGTAAAGTTAAATGAGTTAAACATGTTAGTAATGAATCAGTCAAAAAGTAGTAGTCTTGCTCAGTGTTCATGCTCTGCAGTGATGACATTTTGAATGAAACTCTAATGAAGTTCATGAAGGAAAGAGTTAGTTTACTTCGTTAAGAAAATGGCACCCAATGATATTATTGTTTCTAAATCTACTCGAGTGTTTAAATTGTGAATTAAAAGGTGAAATGATAAAAATAACTGTTTATTTTTATAATTTCACCAAAGCAATTTAAGAAAAATATTTCGGATAAGGCTGCACTAGTAATGTTCATATCTTCGATTTTAGAAACATTCATTTAGTTATAAACAAATCGGTCGAAAAGTCTAATGAAATAAGAATAATGATGATGTCATTCTCATTTAACTTGTTTGACTTTACAAATGTACCCTATGTCAGTGGTGCGCAAACTATTTTTACTTCTGACCCCCCCATTTTGTGTAAAATTTTATTGCGACCCTTGGATAGACATTAGAGTCTATCCAAGGGTCACAATAAAATAGAACCCTTGGATAGACTCTAATGTCTATCCAAGGGTCGCAATAAAATTTTACACAAAATGGGGGGGTCAGAAGTAAAAATAGTTTGCGCACCACTGACATAGGGTACATTTGTAAAGTCAAACAAGTTAAATGAGAATGACATCATCATTATTCTTATTTCATTAGACTTTTCGACCGATTTGTTTATAACTAAATGAATGTTTCTAAAATCGAAGATATGAACATTACTAGTGCAGCCTTATCCGAAATATTTTTCTTAAATTGCTTTGGTGAAATTATAAAAATAAACAGTTATTTTTATCATTTCACCTTTTAATTCACAATTTAAACACTCGAGTAGATTTAGAAACAATAATATCATTGGGTGCCATTTTCTTAACGAAGTAAACTAACTCTTTCCTTCATGAACTTCATTAGAGTTTCATTCAAAATGTCATCACTGCAGAGCATGAACACTGAGCAAGACTACTACTTTTTGACTGATTCATTACTAACATGTTTAACTCATTTAACTTTACAAATGTACCCATAGATGATCAGCACGACTCTGTCATTATTAGGAAAACTATGAAGTATAGCAACAAAACACTAATAATTTGAGATGGAGAACATATATTTTAAATAAAATAAATTAAAAATATGATTATTTAAATATATAAATTCTAATTGTACATAATTTATACAACTTCTACAGCAAGAAAACTTTTGTGAATAAATTAAATAATGCTTCTTCACTATTTCAATACTATAAAATCGTTTGACTATTTTTAAAGAGATCAAAAATGTATAAAATCATACATGATGATAACCCAGGATATCTTCAATTGAAGGATAAAGAAAAGTCTCAAAAAAGTTATAATTTTTGTAAATAGTCTTAATTAAATTTCAGATCAAAAATGTGTTAAAAGACAAAGAAAGTTTATAATTATATATATATGAATATTTACATAAATTCATTTCTTAATNGGACAAAAACAGTAAAAAAATTATGCTGCTATTAATTTTGAAAGATTTATAAAAGTTTGACAAAATTTCTTCTAGAAGTTGAAAATTTATAAAATTTTGTTTATGTACTAAATATTTTATATATTTTCAGTTGTTTTGTGATTAGAAAGTAATAGACATGTTTATTTGTATTCATGATCTGTAATTGAGTCTGGATTGTATGCAATCATCCTTTATCTTCCAAAAATTAGTTAATCATACCTATCTTATTATGAATAGAATGGAAATTGACCAAGTTATTAAATTAATTAGTTAAATAAGAATTTCAACTTTAAATGTACTAATGCTACTTATTTTCTTTTAATTAGCGTACATATACAGTGAAAACTTCTTGTAATCATTTTGGAACCTGTTTATATAGATAACACTTCAGAATAAGTAAATAAGATTACAATTAATGGAAATTCTGGTTTTATCAACACTGACATTGAAAAGGCATATAACTGTAACCCACTTAGTATATAATAAGTAATAAATGCCAGTATTTAAACTATTGTACTGTGAAGAAGTGATGGTAACTGATGTGATAATGATTACGTATTATCAGAGTGATAGGTATTGAAGCTGATAGTATAAAAAAAGAAAGCTTTTATATGTAAATATAATAACCATAGATGGCAAAAGTATTCTTACTACATGGTATAAATATCTTTGAAAAACATTTGTGCTGAAATTTTAAACTTTGAATAATGATATTCAAAGAAATGAAATGAATATGCTTTAATTAGAATAAATGTAAAAAGGATGATTGAAAAGAAAGGTAATAATTCAAAATAGTATGGTACATTACCAGTCGTATGATTTCTCTGATGTGCCAGAGGTTTACCACCCCTGATAAAAAGTTTTAAAGTTTGATCATTATTTATAATTGTATTATAAAATTATTGATGTTATACTCAGAGCATTTACAGAATTGTCATTACAAAAATTATATAATGTATTAATGAAAACAATGGCAAATTTAAAGCAAAAGGTACTGACAGGAATTATAAATGTAATAGCAGAAATTTAGATAAAAATTCAAAGTAAGATGTTCAATAAAAATTTACATTGATTACTATGCAAAGTAGTTTGGTTTATTATTATAGTTTAGAATATAAAATTTGAAGTATTTTTTATAGTGTTATTTATATTGAAAAAAAAAACAATTATGTATTTTAATACTGTAGTATTAATAAGAGAGTCTATTGGAATTACTATTCAAAATATGTTAAGAAAAATGAAAATTAGATATGAAAAACTAAATGGATGAAAACAAAAAGCTATAAAAATAATTGTTTGATTACCAAAAACAAAGAAATGAAAATATCAACAGCATGGGAAGCC